TCTCATCAGAACCCCTCCCCCTGTAGAATTACAGTACAATCAAAACCATCTCACCAGAACCCCTCCCCCTGTAGAATTATAGTACAATCAAAACCATCTCACCAGAACCCCTCCCCTATAGAATTACAGTACAATCGAAAATATCTCACCAGAACCCCTCCCCCTGTAGAATTACAGTACAATCAAAACCATCTCACCAGAACCCCTCCCCTGTAGAATGACAGTACAATCAAAACTATCTCACCAGAACCCCTCCCCCTGTAGAATTACAGTACAATCAAAACCATCTCACCAGAATTTAAGTCTCACACCAAAGAACAGTACACAATGCTACCTACATTTCAGATTAATGGAATGTAATGTCGACAAATAGATATCAAGTCACTAGACAACTAACTCACCCTTTGTTCTACAAGTTGGACACTTGATTCTGTCTTCTGCACATGCTTCACATAGAGTATGACCACATGGTATTAACAATGTCGGAGTGTGATCTGGTGGCACCTGTGAAAGAAACAAAACCAATTCATTATGACCACTCTAAGCTTTCCTTCCCCGTCCTGTGTTAGTGTTATTTCATAAAAGCAATATCAACCAGGATTACCCTAATAAACAAAGATGAAAAGAAGAGTCTACTGTGTCTGTAAATGATGCCCTCAATGTCAAGTACAATGTACATGAATTATAAACTGAATAATTATACTTGTTCAACTGTTATTTAAATAACATCATGCGACTTTTTACCAATTAAAAGGCTCCATTTACATAATTATTCTCCCATAAAGTCCCACATTACAATACAGTACAGATGTTAATTTTAATACATGGTAATCTCGAATTTTGCAGCAAGGTGGCTCCAGCAAATCAGAAAGTTGTCGCTTTTGGTTGTCATCAGGTTTCTTGTATGTGATGATTAGTAACTGAGATATCAGTGGAAAAGCCGAAAATTGACTAATGCAAATTAGTTTAATTATATGCATGGATTTTTATCCAAAACTAATCACATCTGTGCATTAGTCCAGAGCATCTATGTACATAAGCCCCTTTTCAGATATCAATGGAACAGTCAAGGAACAGCTAAAAATTAGCTAATTATCATGCAAATCAGGTAATTAATATGCATAGATATCAACCAAAACCTAATCGCATTAGCCCAGAGAATCTATAAGATATCTTGAGATATCAGTGGAACGAACGGACAGACGGACATACACATGCATAACAGACAGGCAAAGACTCCCATTGGGTGTGTTTCAAGGTTCCATAATGTCCAACGTATGTACAAGTTTGAACAAAACCCATTCATTTTGATTTTGATGACTTTTCAGCACAAAAATGACCGCCATTTGGTCATCTTGAATCAGATTGTGAAACAAATTGATGTGCATAAATACGAGCAGCCTGTCGGCTGAGATAACTCCGCTGTTAGCAATGCACATTTCAATTAAAGCACAGACGATATCATTAGAAAATGAACAATATGTATAGTATCAAAGCAATGGGACTTGCTGTTTTCAACAAGAAGTCAAAAATATCACTTTTCACCAACAATGAAAAAAATAATCATCAAAATTTGATAATTGAAAATATCACTACAAAATTAACAAATTTGAAAGAGGTCCACATGTACAATGTAGTACCTATACCGGTATATGTAATATAAAAGCAATCGGACTTGCAGTTCTCAACAAGAAGTCGAAAATGTCACTTTTTACCAAATATTACAAAAATATTCACTAAAATCAAAGTTAAACTGTAAATAGCTCCCGTGTGATCAGAGCATGTATTATAAAGGTATAGGCTTTTCCTAATAAGTTAATGTAATTGCATGTAGGTCAATCCATCAATAAAATTGATCAAGATGTCTGAGAATCTATGACATACTGTATATGGAAACACATGATTTTGATATGGGCATTTTGAAAAACATGCAAGGACACTATACTTGTAAACAAAGGGCACTAATGAGCACTCTATGAATGAGGGATTTCTAGAGGTCGGGGTTTGTCTCGTCTTCAGTTGAATAGTTTTTGCTTTGATTTTCTTATGGGTATTTTCCCAATGCAACTTAATTTCACTTGTTTTTTTTAATTCTTCGTAATTAGTGTCATTAGCGACGGAGTAGTAAAAACCGTAATTAACCTCAGTGCAGCAAATCGGGATAGA